TCAAAATATCTTAAGTTATATGACATATATGCTTAATATGTTTTTAAATTTTGGATTTGTTAAATAATTTTTTTGTATTTTATCATTCTTTTATTATCTTATCCATGAATTTCATACAAGTATAATTTTTTGTAAGTGTCAATATGCACTTATTTACAAGATATACAAGAAATTTACCTAAATCCGCCTAGGCCGCCTAGACCCTGCCTAGCCGCCTAGGCACTAGGCACCAGCCCGTCACTCGACTAGCACCTAGTGTTTTTTAAAACCTTGCATGTGAGTCAATCTTTTCTTTTATATAGTATATATATAATTGTTAGTTTCCATTCATACATTTCTTAAAGATTTTCCTATAGTACGCCTAGATTAGTGTGACGTTTATTAGCGCAATGATAGAAATTGTGAAGTTATGCTACGTCCTACGAGATGCACATTATGCGTATTATTATTGATGCCTTAATTATATTTATGGCCATGAATAATATCACGGTGACGTGAATTATCAATTTACCACTGTATGATTTTATTTACGTTATCTGCTCATCATTGCTGCATCGATGTTAGTACTCCCCTGGGCTAGGGCCATTCTTTCATGTGTATGTTCACATCGCACCGTACGCTCACTTTGGATCCATTGTAGGTGCCAGTCCTATCCTAGATTGCTATAGGCAATTAGGACTTGTATGTGATGCGTATAACGACATTGTAGTAATAAAGCGTAAATCATTATTACACCGAGTTTTGTTCATGTCAAAATACCTCTACATGAATCGTGTGTCAGCATGTGTCGATGAGCACTCGATGTGATATATTTATTTTTGCGAGATATTGTGATTTCTAGAAGTTATATGCTTATCTACGAATTTTGTGACGTATTGAAGTCTTGAGATATTGCAGGCTACGGTAAGTATTTTCATACTATACATAGTATGTATATTTTGGAAACTATACTTATTTTATGGTGAGGGGTTATAAAGTTTTGAAAAAGGTTTTTATAAAACTTTATTTTTAGGCTCACTCACCCTTGTTTTTTGCCCCTCCAAGTTTAGTAGCTGAGCTTTCGTGTTGACGAGAATTCTTGGCAAATCTTGGTATAGATGGTTACCTTCGATGGTATGATTCTCATTATACTTTACTGTACTTTACTTATGCTTTAACATCACGTGTGAAATGAATTCATTCTCGCTCACAAGCGCACTTTTATCTTTAGGCACTTTTAGGTTTAAATTTATTCACATTTTCCACATCACTACACTTTATGGCTACATCACCATTCTGATGTCGGCCAGCACAGCTCGATTCGAAGTCCAGGTGGACATTTTGAGTCGGGGCGTGTCATTACGCATTCCACAATAGTTTGAGCGAGTGTGATATATATACACATAGGAATCAGGTAACCTGATTTTATTATCTATAACATTATTGTTACATTAGTGTGAATTCAATATATTAATATCACACTCATGAGTTCAACATATAAGTATCACACTCAAATTTTCTAATTTACTATGTAAATGTGATTTCTATGTACATTCAATATATTAATTTCTCGATCACTTTTTTTCTGACTTACGATAAAGGCCTGACGATTAAAAGAAGTGCTCTATTTTAAAGGAGGATAATGTTAAAGAGATCAAATTTTAAATCAAATAATGTGGTACAAATAAAAAATAAGTATGTTAATAATTCAATCATCAACAATAGTATAATTTGATTTACAATTTTTTTTTATCAAATGATGTGGTACAAATAGAAAATAAACATATTAATAATTCAATTATTAACATTCATATCATTTGATTTACAAATTTAGTTTGAAAAAATTTGGTTCCTCTAAAAATAAAAAGTCAAAATTTTTTCAGTTGTTATGTAAACCCTAATTTCCCAGCCCAATTCTTACTAAAACCCTAAACTCGATTCATCTCTCGTGTTTCCCACCACCTCTCGTCTCCTGCGACGCCTCTTGCAGGCACTTCACCCTCTCCCACCCTCGTCTCTCTCTCTCTCTCTCTCTCTCTCTCTCTCTCTCTCTCTCTTCTCAGTCGGTGAGTTCTCTCCCTCTCTCTCAATAGGTAATCTCAATCGATTCTTTGATTTCACTTATAAATTTCTCTATGTTTTGCTTTCGTGTTTGTGCTGTTGGAAATGTCATTCACTGCTTGATATTGGTTGATAGGCTAAATGTATGTTCAAATTCATGTTGAAAATTTTGCTTTTTTTTTTCTTGCCCCCTCATATTCTTCTGGGGAAAAATTGAAAACTGGCTACGAATTGAATTATCTGATTTAGAATAATACCCAAATTAATATTGATTCAGTTTTTTCCCGTGAATTTGGAATATTGTTGGCTAAAATTTGTAAATAATATTTCTGCTTGACTTATCTATGCCATACCTGTATCTGAATTTTTGAGTTTTCCTGAATCACTGTATCGCATTGTATTGCTCTACCTGTTCCTGTTTCCGGTGGCGCAGTTGAGATTTTATTTTTTGTCCACTATGTTGCTGGTTTCCATTCGTTAACTTTTTCGTAACAGTGGGACTTTAGAAGAATAACTGTTAGAGCTAACATTGAGATTTGAGAATGTATAGCTCTTTTGATATATCAAATCGATCTAATGCCTGCTAGATTAATGTGGATGGAGAGTATATGTGATACTGCTCGGCAAAATCATTGCAATCATTTAGGTTGTTAGTCATGGATTGATTTGGATAGACGAATAAAGGGGTTCCATGTACTTTTATAATAATTGATGTGGTTGGTTGTGAATTCTTAATGATGGTACACTTAATTTTTCTCCCAGAAAGTAGGACTATATGATCTAAGGGAACAATGAGGTTGGAAAAGTGCTGGTTTTGTTCCTCTACCGTATACCCCGGACATGGGATTCAGTTTGTTCGCAACGATGCAAAGGTAAAGTTGTTATCTACTCTCTACTAAAGCACAAAAGTAGTTGTATTCTAATTGTAGTAATCTCAACAGGGACTATGACAGCCATACAGATGCACTCGTGAGCCTTAAGTTTGAAAATGTTACTCATTTAGTCCTGAACAGCTGAACCTATATGGTTTTCCAGTCCTATAATCAAACAGTGCCTGATTTACTGTTGGTTAAGTCAGCTTAGATTAGTTTTAGTTTACATGGTTATGTCAAGGATGCTATTTATATTAATTCCATTCAGGGTTGACGCTACGATGAGTCAATTTATTTGGCACTCAGTTTGGGGTTTTGTTTTGGACTGAGGTCCTCAAGTTGGGTTAATTTTTTGATCTTTTAGTTCAGATTTACTCCAGAAATAGTTTGCATTTTCTTAGCATCTTATGCTTTCACTGTGAAACTGATGATGGTTACTGATAACACTCACATTGCTCTGAGGCTATATGATGTGTGACCGGATAACCTGACACCATTCCTCTTCTAGATTTTTCGATTCTGCAGATCCAAATGCCACAAGAACTTTAAGATGAAGAGGAATCCGCGAAGGTGAAGTGGACTAAGGCCTATAGGCGGTTGCGTGGAAAGGACATGACGCAGGTAAACTAACTTTGATCTCTCTTAATCCTATTATTGTTACAGACATTTAGTAAATATCGTTTAATTGCTTGGGTAATATCCTGTTAGTTATGTTACTCTTTTCTTTCTATCTGCAGGACTCAACCTTTGAGTTTGAGAGAAAACGAAATAGGCCGGAGAGATACTGACAGGAGTCTTACAGAAGACACTCTGAAGGCAATTAAGAAGATCGATAAAGTCAGAATCGAGAGAGAGGCCAGACACCACAAGAATAGGTACATTCCTCCTGTTCCATTTTAACCTTCTGTAGAAAACAGTCAAACCTGTTTTTGGTTTTCTTCATCTTACGAAACTTGTTAAAAACTTATGCAGGATGAAGGGCAAGAATGTCAAAGAGCAAAATGAGAAAAGGAAAGAGATTGACCATAGCCTCCACTTGGTCATATCTCCGATTGCGCAACAGCAAGAGCCATCACTCGTCAAGGTTTCCCAACCGCATCTCGAGAAACAAGTTGCCATGGAGGAGTAAATTTATTGTTTCAGCAGTCATGGTTTTATCCGTCTCTTTTGCATCCATAGTTCCAACAAGTAGCAAGACGATTGTTTCTGTGTTGATTGAAGTTTTGGATCCCGTTTTCCTTCTCATGAACTTGTAGCGTCGGATCTAAATTATGTTCGTCGAGTCCCAGGTCTGTTGTAAAACGTTTATAACAAGATATTCTATATGTAAGTTTTTGAATTTATGGTCCAACAGTTTTGGGACTTTATACATTTGATTTGAGCAGTTTTGGGACTTTATACATTTTATTTGAGTAGTTATATTTGCATAGGGATTGCGTCAAGTCAACTTGAAGAATTCATATCAGCCATATCCCAGTCAATGCACCTTCGTTGATATGGGAAAAACTTGGGTGTTAGTGTGATACCAACAGTTACATTCTGGTAAACGAATCATTTTAATACTCTGTTAAGAGCTCACTACGGCTGCCTTTTTATTTCATCCTGAGGCTCTCTCTTGGACATGAACCATTCAAAATATAGCTGTTATTTCTTTTGCCCATAGCACCTCATTGAACATGGGAGCATATGGAACGTTTTGGTTCGCAACCCTTAATTGGTGACGAGCATTACCATCATATTAATTGGTTTGACAAGTTTAAATTTTAAAATTTATGACGGAAGTAGGTTGTCTTTTCCACAGTTGTGGAAGGTTGTGCCTTTGCATTTCGGCGCAAGTTCAAACCACGTTGGCAAAGAAAAATATTTGTGCAGGAAAATGATTAAATCACTCATCCAACGATAATGAATTGTGGTGATGCTTACAAACATGCAAAAATGCACCCTTGAACATGAAGCAATATAACTTTGAGAGTGCCACGTGGTATTAGCTTCCCACAAAATTTTAGATGCACCGCTGTATTTTTGGATTTTTTAACCCTTGAATTTTATTTTTTATATTTTAAAACAAAAATATAACGGTTAAAACAACTGGAGTAACTGATAATCCGAAGTTCCAAGGAAGTCCCCTTAGCTTCTCCCTCATCTCCCTGGCTCACAGAAGCAACGGTAACCGAACAAAAACTCCTCCAATTGATTTTTCCAACTCTTAAGCGCCAGACAACCAAATCACAAGAAACAAACACTTCCAAATCCAAATGCTAGATTATGATCTCACTCACTCCCACTCCTTTTCTCATCCACAGCACAAGCTTCGCAGTCATTTTTGTCTTTCTGATCCCAAGCCCTACAAGGGTGCACCCTAGCAGTGGCAGCCTCCGCCGTGCATGAGGCGCCAAAGTCCTCCGAGTAGAGGGAGTTGAGCTCCGAGCTCTACGCGTCGATGCCATTCTCGGCAGTGACGGGGGCAAAGAGGCTGGTGTCGGTGAGGCACGGGCAGAGCATGTGGAACGAGTAGGGTCGGATCTGGGGGAGCTCCAATTTTTCCGTGCTCACCAAGAAAGGTGAGGCTTAGGCCGAGACTTCCCACCTGATACTCATCAATGATACTCTAAATATCTACTTTGCCAGGTTCGGTTTAATACCCTGAAAATTTAAATACATGAATTAGATATTCTTAATTATGAATATGTGAAGAAAATCGAAAATAAATCGATTTATAGTTATGAAAATTTAATTAAGAAATTTTAAAGTTTTATTTTTGGGAATTTTTATAATTTATGAGGACATATTTTATCCTTGCATATTTTATCATTTTTCTTGGCATACTTGGATGGAGTTCGATCTCACGAGCGTGTGGGCAAAAACCATTTGTGAAACGGAATTATAACGAAGAAGTTATTAACGATTGAAGTGGAGGGCAAAATATGCATTTTACCATTAAATTGGAAGGCTCTAGAAAATCTGGAGCAATGGGATGATGCCACGTGTGTGGCTGTGAGGAAGAGAAGATTGCGGGAGAGAGGAGGGAGAGTGTGGACCAATGAGGAAGGAAGAAATGAGGGGAAGGGAGAGAAGAAGGAGACATTGGATCATGGATCCCTCTCACCCAAATCGTGCGACCCGACCTATTATTCCGACGGCTTTCCGTCGCTTTCCACCATTTTTTCTGATGATTTGGACCAATCCACCACTCCTAATCATCATCTAGCCCCTCCTTCCATTTCCACCAAAAATTAGAAGGATTTTGGTTTTATTTTAGTGGAAAACACCCTGACAGTTCATGGGTGTCGACAACAATTCTGCCATTTTTGCATGTGCTACCATTGACCACCAACCTTGTTCAACTCCTCTTAAGGCTTGGATTAAAGTCCAAACAAGTTTGGGGGTGGCGGAGCTATGATTTTGACGAATCAAGGACACCCAAATTCTAGGGTTCCAGCTGGTTCGAGGAAAATCCGAGCAATTCTCGTTCGAATTAGGGTTCAATCCAGGTATGAAAAATGTTCCTCTCCTTTAGTTGTACATTCCTACAAAATTTGGTAATCTTTGGAAATAGTTAAATTTTCTGGATAGTCAGGGGCGGCTGGCCACCACCCATGGCGACGTGTGGCCAGTGGGCCGATGCTGCCATTTTGTGCAAATTTTGATATTCTAAATATGAATTTGGTATTCAATTAATATGTTTCGATTATTAAACCCAATGTTGGTTATTTCGGTTACTTGAATGTCCTTGGAAATGGATTGAAAATGAAACGTGAACTACAAAAGGCTTGATCCCGCATCAAGGGTACGTAGGCAATCTAACAGGGGTTCGATGAAGCCTTAAATAATTGAGATTAATCCTTTGTTGGGAATTTGAATTAAGAAAATAAATTTGGTGATTAATTGTAAAAATTAAATCTTATGTTTTGGTAATTAAATTTTGGTTATAGATTTTGTGAGTGATTAATAAATTTAGATAAAGAAATATAAATTATGGTAGTTAAATAAACAAGAGTTTAATTTGGCCTATCACTGCAATTATTTCCGAAATAAAAAATTTTGGGTCGGGGCGTTACGTTCAACTTGTTGCATTTTTTATTAGTTTTGTAGCTTATGTAATGCCCAAGAAACAATTGAATTGTTAGGAAAATAATCCCCAAAGAAAACCTGAGGAAAACGGAGTATTTGGAGCAATATCCAATTGAATTGTTATGTCAGGCTTTAAGAAAATAGATTCCGTACTAGTTCGAGAGTAGTCGGAGCCAAATAAGCCGTCTTGTTTCAGCCTATTTGAATATATATAATTGTTATGCGACATTTTAAATTGTAAGGTTTTGAAAATTAGTAACTCAAAGAAAACCTTAGCACGATATTAGAAAGCGCAATTTGGAGTTCGAATTCCTAAAACGAAACACAACCTTCCAAATTGTGGAATTCCATATGTTGGGCTCTCTTGTGAAGCAACAAGCTACACAACTGCAAGTGAGGGTGGTGGTGTTCCGATAAGCTTAGACAATGTAATAGCTTCAACCCTTTTGAGCATTCCCACTACCCTACATTTCAGCATATATCAAATCTAATAACCAAATCCAAACCATCTTTGTAAATTGTATTAGTTTATTCTAGGTAACTGACCCTTGTTCTTGCATTGGATCTCTACTAACATTGCGTTATACGTTGCAGTCCCCTGATGAGGTCAAAGAGAACAGCTAAAATTATATGGGTTCCTCACAAAGAGGAAATGATTATGGACTCTGATATGAGGGAAATTGACTTGTATGCATTTCAAGTGAGTTATATTTTCTACGTTCCTTCGGCAATTTACTTTTTGAATTTTGCATCATCAGGAATTATATAAAACAAATGAGGTGAAGAGGATTTGATGACTGTTAATATACTTTTATGATTTTAGGGCCTCTTGAAGCATGAGGGAAAAGCAAAGTTTGGTGAAGCTTTTCAATAATGGCATGTAGATGCTGCAAATTTATTATTGACGGTCATTATCCTATGAGTGAGTTAGGGGCATGTGCTAGGGGTTGCTGAAACCGAATACTATTGCATGAAAGCAAGTTTGTTCTTGTGGTTCCTCATAATGCTGTTAATCAGGCTCTCATTGCAACCGCTATTGGTATTATTCCTTTCTCAGATATATGACATTTCTTGCTAAGCATACTTTTATCCTTTTCATTTAATTACTTATTAAAATTTCCATTTGAAAATCAGGATTGGGAACATAGTACTTTAGGGTTTTAGTTTAGAGCAATTGTGGTGTAAGTGTGTTGGATTTCATCCCATGAGTTGAGGGTGGATCACCGTATATTTGCCTCAATCGACTGTACCAGGTATTGGGCATCTTTACTGATGAAAAATGAGGTTGATTACATTCGCCATCATGGTAATTACCTATGCTGCTGGTATGAGCTATAAGTATGAAGACAAACATCTCCCTCTCTGTCTCTCTTTCTGTTGTTTAAATTTATTCGTGTAGTTCATGAAGCTTTTATTGTTATGTAGGTTGTGTAAGTGGATATGTTGTCCTCTAAATGATATTGCAATGTTAATGTTGACCCCTAGCTCACCAGTTGCTGGTGGAAGTTCATGAGGAAGGAAAACGGGTAAGGGATTATACTTGTTTGTCATGGATCCACACAGAGCGACTAGAGAGGTATGAGGAGAACATTTGAAAGTGCTGTGTGATTTTTTTGTTGATATATTCTCACTTCTTTTGCTGGTTTGGTTGAGTATAAATTCAAGGTTGAACTGTCAAGAGAAACCACCAAGCTTTATATTCCTCATATATGTTTCTGAATTATCACCTCCGATGTTAAACAGACTGGTTTTCCTTCGACCATCAATCAACCAATGGACATGTTTGGGGTTATGAAGGTACTCCACCAACTGTTTATTTTATTTTCACAATTTCATATATCACTGTCATATGATCGGAATTTGATGTACTTTTCGCAGACACATTACAGTCCCAAAAAACTGTGGCGCTACTTTTGGATTTGAAAGTGAGTTCTACAGTTAGCAGTAGTCCAAAGAAAGCTTGTGTTGAAACAGCAATTGCCATCTCCAAAGTAAGTTCATCCTAGATGTTCTCAAGTCAGTTTGTAGAATACTGTATTCCCTCTCTTTTTTTCTTCCTTATTCGACGAGACTAAAATTTCTATTAATTCCTTTTAGGAGGGGATTGGGGAAGAATTGGTGATCTAATCCTCTTATTAAAAGAGTTATAAATTTTGCTCCCTAGTTAATTATATGCTAAAGCAATTGTAGGTGCAAGAAGTTGTAGATTGCTTGGATGTTGATTGTTTGCCACATGACTTGGAGATAAAGATGGAGAACCTTCATGTTGAGGACATCCTTCTAGGGCCGGCCCTGAGAATTTAGGAGCCCTAGACTGGTCTTTGAAGTGGGGCCCTAAAATTTTCTGACCCCCAGTCTTTTGTATAGTGATTATGTATAAAAAAGAATTCTCTAAATACATGAAAAAGGTTAGTTTTACATCAAATATCTTTAAAAATTAATATCAAAGAAGACAGATATACAAAGATTACATAAATAATACATGTCTCACATTTTTGGACTCAAATGTACCAAGAATTTACAGTCAACGATATATGATAAAGAGAGTAAATAACAATAAAACTTTGATTGATAGAGTAAATAACAACTAAACTTGATTGATGAATATAATAAGTTCAACAATGCCATGGTTCTTTTTAAAATCAACATTACACTAAAGCCTCGTTTAGCAGCTTGGATTGTACTGACTATTTCAGTCGGATAAGATAAATAGTCATTGGATAGTACTAACTAAATTTGTTTGACGTTTGGTGCTGTATCGACTAACGATTGTATTATTTATACTGTGTTTGATACTATACCGGATAGAAGGAATTCAAAGAATTATTACTTTTAAGATAAAAATTGATGATTAATGAAAAAAATGGATTTTTTTTTTTTTTACACATTCACGACCACCAAATGGGTCAAATTAAAAAAGAACAAAATCTTCCTTTATTTAAATCAAACTTAAAATAAAATTAAAAAAAATTAAAATAATCTCTTCAGTCTTGTCTTCCCCAGATCTCTTTGTCGCACCCCCAACACCCTTACAAAAACCTGAAAGAGAAGAAGCTGAAAAATGGAGTCACACCTTTCGTCCACAAAACCTTCACTTAATCAAATGTAGAAGCGAGAGATAAAGAGAGAGAAGCTCTATGGACTCCTATTTCCTTTTAGGCTCATCTTCTTCCCTATCCCCATACCCCAAACCAATACCCCTCACCAAAACCCAGCCAAAACCCCTCCCTCCATCCATTATCTCCTCATCTCACATTTCACCCGCCGATGATGATGATGAAAACGATAAAACCCATAAATCCAATTTTGATTTCCTCAAGCTCTCTGTAACTCTCACAGTAATCTCCACCTCCTTCCCCCAAATCCCCACCGTCGTTAAGGAGAAAAAGTGCGGGCCCAAAAAATCCAAAGCTTTATCTCCCTAAAAACTCGAGTCATGGTCCCAGGGACTCCCCGTCGTCTCCAATCGAATTTTGTACACCCAGGTGTTGGCGCTCAATTAGGTGTCGTGGAGAACGAAGTGCAAGAGAGAGGGAAGGGAACCAAACTAATAATCCACTCCTTTTGGAAGGGTTTGTTATGCAGGTGTATACCCTACTAAATAAGCAGACTGACTAAATTAATCCGGCGACTATTTAATACGAGAGGACACCAAATGATCGGGTTCATATTATTAATCTTATCCGCTTCATTATGCGACCCACCAAACGAGGCCAAGATATTAGAATCATCCAATTGAATAATAAATTATTGAAGAAAAAAATCATAGTTTTGGTTACCTCAAATTACAATCTTCAAGAACATGTGAGAGTTGATTTAAACATTCAATAAAAATGGAGAAATAGGAAAGTAAAGGAAAAAGAGGATTGCAAAGGGACTTAGGTTTTGTAACTTTATATGTTGAAGAGGAAGGCAAAAGAAACTAATGCGTCTATATACATTTGGATTAGGATGATGGCTATTTGTAATCAACTCCTTGATTAGGCTATTAATTTCAATTTTAAAAAATAAAAAAGAAACTAATGCTAGAAGACGCAACTGCAACTATCAAACTTAAACCCCCCAAGGAAAAACAGCTGGCAAACTTCCACTACGCTAACAACACAACTATGATGCTTTTTACTTCTGATATGTTTATATTATTTGTAGATTATATAAAAAAATTTGGGGGCCCTAGGTGACCGCCTTACCTCGGTTTCCCTCAGAGCCTGCCCTGCACCGTTCAATGCTCATTTAAGGTGAGAAATCTAAACTTGATGTTCATAATCTTTCTCTCTTGCTTAGATTCCAAGAAAGAATCACATTTTGTCATTCTTCAATTCCGGCTTCATTTTTCGATAGAACAACATATAGCATCAAACATAAATGTTTTCACCTCTTCTTTCATTCTTGTTTAATGCAATAAAGTCCATGAGGGTAGGAAACAAGCTAGTCTTTTAACTTTGTACTGAAAAAACTTCGTTAAGAGTGGCCCTGTTAACTTCGCCAATCGATTATTTTTGATTTTTTTTTTGTTTTTGCAGGATGAAGGTAATATTCTGCTTCTTCAGGCTGGATGGCTAAATGGATTAGAGGACATAGTCATGGGACATGTGTGGGATCAATATGAGAAAGCCTGGGAGTCTCTCGTAAATGAACTAGACGCTGAAGCCAAACAAGAAAAAGTTGTTGTAGCAGTCTGTCATCCTGCATTGCACGTAGCACTGATGGGGAATTGTTGTACAAACTAAGAACTTTAAATGTTGTAAAATATGTAGCTAGGTTTTTCACTAGTCAATTGCATACCCCATCAAGCTTAGGTTGCATGTATTCATAATATACTGAAGATTACATATAGGGTTTCAAACCTCTATTTACATGGAAGGTTTGAAATTTAAATATACAATTAGAGCGCTTAAGAATATTGACAAAGTCCTACGCCTAACAAACTATTTAGAGATAAGAATTACAAAGAGAATAAAAGATTCAAACAGATTTGATTCTAACGGACTGAGGACTTGGTCTAACATCACCTCACAAGCTGATAGGACGAGAAATAACTAGAAGCTTGGAAATCGGAAGCTTAAACCTTGATGATGACATACCTTTCGTGAATAAATCTGCAACTTGATCATGTGAACAGATAAAATTAACAGAAAGCTCACCAAGAACCAATTTATCTCGGACATAATGATAGTCAACCTCCAAGTGTTTGGTTCGTGAATGAAACACAAGATTAGAGGCCAAGGCTATTGATGAAATGTTATCACATCATATCTGTGGACGAAGCAAAGGGAACTACATATCACAAAACAAAGAACGCAACCATGAAAGCTCAGCTGCAGTATAGGCCAGCTACCTATATTTAGCCTCTGTGCTTGAGCGCGAGACTATTTTCTATTTCTTGGAGCTTTACGAAACTAGGTTCGAACCCAAGTATATACCGAAGCTTCCTGTTGAATGCCTTATGTAAGGATCTCCTGCATAATCAGCGTCTGAAAACGCATTGAGATGCATGTTACCAGGTTTGTACAGAAGTCCATGATCATAGAGAGACTTAACATATTGCAGAATTCGTTTCACAGCCATTCAATGCGTATTGTTTGGAGCATGCATAAACTGGCACACTTGATTAACCGCATAAGAAATATCAGGACGTGTGATTGTGAGGTACTGCAAAGCACCCACGACACTTTTGTAATTATGAGTATCAGGATGCGGTTCACCATCATAAAGACTCAGTTTTTGATTTGCAGGAACTGGCGTAAAGATAGGCTTTGCATCAACGAACTTGGTCCTGCTTTAATGCATACTTTTTTTGACTAAGATACATATGATTCTTCAAATAGGAGACTTCAACGCCCAAAAAATAGTGGAGAGGCCCCAAGTCTTTCATAGAGAACAAAGTACTGAGCTTATTGATTAAGTGATGCATTTGGTATGGGTTATTTCCTGTAAGCGGTATATCGTCCACATAAATCAACAAAATCAAATACACACCTAGTTGATTGAAAGCAAATAGTGAATAATCACATTTTGAATCCTGAAATCCCAAATGAAGCAAGAAATCTTAGAAGCGCTCAAACCACACTCGCGGTGCTTGTTTCAAACCATACAAGCTCTGTTGTAATTTGCACACATGATTAGGGTATTGTTGATCAATAAAACCAACAGGCTATTTCATATAGACTTCCTCCATCAGGTAGACATGTAAGAAGGTGTTTTGGATGTCCAGTTGATGAACTGGCCATCGATTGGAAACTGCAAGACTTAGCACCAGGAGAATGGTACTTTGCTTGATCACTAGACTAAATGTTTTACCGTAATCCACACCTTGCTTTTGACGAAATTCGTTAGCCACTAGCCGTTCTTTATGTCTTTCGATGGAACCATCGGTGTGTCATTTAATCTTGTAAACCCACTTGTTTGGAAGCAAGTTCATGTGGGGTTTATAAGGAACAAGATTCCACATCCCGCACCTTTCTCATGCATTGAATTCTTGAACCATATCACTCCTCCATTCCTAGGTGTTTAATTGCTTGGCTGAAACAAGTTGGAATCATCACTTTTATCATTAGTTACAACATGCAATGCATACTTGGATTGGGTTTTTGTATGCTAGTTTTGGAGCGAGTTTGCATGGAATGAACTAGAGTGGGAACACACGTAGGTGGCTGTTGCAGGACAGGTTCGGGGACTGATCCTTGCTCACTTGGTAATCTTAGGATAGTGGTACTAGGTTAGGTAGAATGGGGAAGCCTATAATAAGATTGGATTTAGATACGCTATGGTTTTCAATGAAGGCTCTGAGGTTGTGCAGGGCTACTTATGTTAGGAAGTAAGGACGTGACATGTGACTGAGAGATTATAGCTTGGGTCTCGATGGTTGCAGGATATGGATGAGATAAACTAGGAAAAACAAATTAGAGTTCAGGTTGAGAAGAACTACCTATGGTGTTGACGCCTTCCTTTGCAGGTCTAGAATCCTGGAATGGAAAAGAGTCCTTATCAAAAGGGACACTACGAGATGAAGAAACTCGTCTCGTGGATAAATCCAAGCATTTGTATCCTTGATGATCCAACGAATAACCTAAGAAAACACATGATTTTGACTTAGCTTCAAGTTTATTTTGTGTATAAGGTTTTAGCCACGAAAAACATCTACACCCAAACTCTTTTAATAAATCATATTTTGGTGTTCTTTGAAACATTTTTTCATAAGGTGACTCATTCGAAAAGAACTCGCGTAGATAGCCTATTTGTGATATAAGTTGTTGTTTGACACGCATCAAACCAATATTTTGAAGGAATATGAGCATGAGACAACATGACTATGATTGTTTCAACAACATGATGATGTTTTCTTTCTACAAGAGTGTTCTGTTTAGGATGTTTTGGACAAGAAAACCTTTGAGATATGCCATGTTTATCAAGAAAATCACGAAAAGCATTGCTTTTATACTCTCATTCTTCATCACACTGGACAGATTTTATGGAACGCTAAAACATGTTTTCAACCTTTGTTTTAAATTTAATAAATATTTGGAACCTTTCAGACTTATTTTTCATAGGAAAAATCCAAGAATAACTTAAAAAATCATCAACCAACAATAAATAATAGCGATATCCTTCAATTGAAACAATAGGTGAACACTAAACATCGAAATGCAAAAGTTCTAAAGGAAATTGTGAAACAAACTCTAAAACATCAAAAGGCAACTTGGTACTCTTGCCTAACGGACACGAATGACAAAAACTTTCATTAGAGGTGCCACTAATTGGCACTTGTTTATTTACAATTAAAAATCTTATTATTTTAGATGCAGAATGGCCAAGATGAGCATGCCACTTCTGTGTAGACACTTGAACGCCTACAAATGTTGAAAGGGGATGTTTAGATGATCCACCACCATTTGGAAATGGGTATAACCCATTCTCACACCTTCCTCGGAAAAGCGTCCTCCGGGTTTTGAGGTCCTTAACAAGAAAAAAGTATAGGAAAATTAGGATATAACAATGGTTGTCAAGGGTAGATTTATGGGCTGAAATCAAACTTGTTGAGGCCGAGGGATAGTGTAATATATTATTCAGGTTAAAGGAGCAAGAATTAGTCATAATTGTATTTGAACTAGAATGTGCAATAGAGAGTCCAATATCATTACCTACTCCACCAATGTTTTCATTACCATTATACTCATTGGGATTGACAAAGTTCTGAAGTTCAGGAGTACTATATGCGTTTACCCTGGTGTCAAATAACCAGAACCCATTTTGTTGACGATTGAGTGTGATCGAAGAAGAAGCCATAGCGGTGAGGCGCTTCCTTAGGATATAACCCTCGTAGGCTGCATTCATACGCTGATAGCAGTCTAGGGTTGGATGCTCTTCTTTTCCATATGTTTGACAAGTTATATGACCAGTTCTAGAAACTAACCTTTCTCCGGGCAGTTATCGTTGACTATTGTTGTGGGGAGCATACCTTTGATGATTCACATGAATGCCACGATTGGACCAACCAACACCATGTCCAGTTTTTTGAGAACGTCCACCACGTCCTTTTGTAGCCACATAAGCATTCACTGGAGTAGTTTCAACCAACGAAACAGTCGGCTCCACCATTCTTCTTTCAGTAGTGAGAAGAAGAGCTTTGAGAGTGGGATACGTGATAGGAGAATCATGTGCTTGTGCGGCATTCACGATCATTTCATAAATGAGCATGTCACATGGCAATTGGTTTTTTTGGAGAGTTCCCTACTCTACTAACGCTATCATCAGGTTATAGGTGAATAGACGTAGTTTTTTCACCGGAGTAAACTACCTTCATTTATATGCTAATCTGCCCCATACATTTAAATGTAAACTAGATGCTTCGGTAAATTTTTTCACTCATGCATGGATAATAGTTTAGACAAAGTTTAGCAACATAACATATCAAACTAGGTAGTAACACGTGTCTCTATAAATAAATTGCCACAACACATATGTGGGATGTCATGAGAGATGCCTCCCTTTTACTATCTTTCACCTAAGTTCGAATATCCCCTTCTTACTAGAATAATTTAGAATATCACTTTGTAAAAAACGAAAACAAGAAATTTCCACTAGTACCCACATTATTTCTTGACACGTTTGTAAGAACTTCAAACTGAAAGCCCACAATCTCTTAAGCCCAAATACGATGCGAATTGATCCAGCCCAACCCAATACAAAGCAGGACGTGAAATTGAGCTCAGCGTCCGTCAGTCCTCGTCTCTGAAATTGGGGTTTTACAGAGGTTTTAGGGTTTCGAAACGAAACACACAGACTAACAGAGAACAAAAATGTCAGCTTCGATCGCCGGAAGATCGACAATTCTGCGCGCGTTTTGCCGAGCAGCAACATCAACAACAAGAACAAGAATTTCAGCAGCGCCATGCCCTTCGATTCCGTCCAATTTCATGGCTCGTCGCTCCTCTTCCTCAAGGTAGTTTCTTTCTTTGACATATGTATATATATTGTGTATATACACATTTGAAATGTATATGAATGTAATAATCTTGTTTATATTTGCATTGGAAGGCTGTTGCGCCGAGAATTGAGCTCTCTTCAACCTCTCCACAATGCCATTGCGTCCGCTTGCCTTATCTCCAAGCTTCCGGCCCTGGCCACCTCCTCCGAAGGTCCCTAATGTCCTCATTTTCTATTAATTTGGTGTTTTTGCATCCATGTTTACGTCTTCCTATCCGTTTACCGGCGTGTCGTTTGCTAATTGTCATTCAGCCTGTAATCTTGTTATATGATGTCCATCCCTCGAGATAAGGCAAGTAACAAACGACACGTCCTTTAGGAAGGTTAATCTCTAACTAGAAAAGTAAATTAACAGGGGTAAAGTTCATTGAATGCAGTATCATAAATTAGCATCCTTTCTCATTGATTGGTTAAATTGTCTATACTGGATAAAGGATAGTAGTATTGTTATATGCACCGTGTTTAGTGACTATATCTCTCGCAGAGGTGAGACATACTTGCACAGGTGGGTTTCAGCTTTAAAAGTAGTTTTGTTCAAAACTTAGGAATTAGAACTTAACGTGGGATGAGGAATTTAAGGGGAAAACTAAGCATAAACAAATTTTTTTTGGGAACATTCTTGGTTTATGCTGTCAAAACCAAATGAAAAAAAAAAAAAAAAAAAAAACAAAGGGAAACATTACCTGATTTATGTGCTGAGATGTGAGTTTGAACTTTGAACTTTCGGTTTTCTTCTTTTACAGCTTTATTAGTTGTTATTGGGAGTTACCTGATGGTACTATGTTTTTCTTTCTTCCCCTGGTCCACAGGCAGATTTGTGAACTATATCAGTCCTATCTAGGAGCGTGTGCATGCTGAAATCAAGAGTTCTTGTACTATTCTTGAATTTGCTGATAAGTTTCTTTCGAAAGTCGAAACGAAATGCTTGTCTTTCGAGGTGAACTGCTGAACATGCTTGTTTTGAATTAAATAGCAAATCTTTTGCATCTCCTGAAATTCTTCTAGTTTGTTACATGGGAGTTCAATTTAACATTCACTAGTTAGATGATGTACTTGTATTGTTTTGAAGTAATGTCATGTTAAATTTGTATCAAAGTAATCAATAAAATATGAGATGAGGTGATGGTTTATTTTTGGGGAAAATACTTTTACTAAAAGGGATGTTGATGTTGGAATGATAAGGCCTAAAGTCTAGGTCTGAATTGTTCCTCCTTCATTTATTGGGTTGCAATGTCTGAATTGTTTGTGAACCTAGTCTTCCTTTTTCATATAATTGATTTATGAGAGAAATTTTCGTATGAGAGATCGACGTGTCTCTTTTCCTCTATTTGCTTAAGAGGCAAATATATTAGTATCTATTAAACTGGCTACTTTCTGTAGAGTTGCATGCAACTTTATGTAGTAGCAACTGGCAAGACGAAAAGAATGCAAAGTTATCAACTAGTCTTGCAAAGCGTTTGGTTACTAAGCAGTAGTTACTTTACTATGTTAGAGACACGGTGATTTGGGATTGTTGAAGTTTGTTGGCTTCCTATTTTAAGCACAAAGAGAAGGGTTGTCTCGGAGTTAAAAAGTTGTTTTGTTTTCTCGGGTAATTAGATTAACTTGTCTTTTTGGTCTGAATTATCTTTCTTAGACGCATATTATCCATTGTTTTCTGTCATTTGTATTTGTTTCTTTGCATAAATCTATTATTAGTTGTTGGATCATAGGTCATGGTAGACTTTCCTATTTTTAGAATCACTCCCGTGACACCTTTACTGCTATTTGCCGAGTAACAATCGATCATTCATTGCTTTTCTTGTTTCGCTTCGACCCTTAAATGATCATATAGCTCCTGTTGGAACTGTTTTTATTTGTTCATGCGGATGAGTTATATACCTGGAGATGAACTTTGATTTTAAAGCCAATGAGCCTAGATCTCAGTTAATTTTGCCAGTAAAATGTGTAAACAAGAATGTTAGGATTGAGTAATTTGCCTGATTGCCATTGTGCCAAGATGATTTGCTTCTTTTGACACAAATAGTTTGAGAGGTGAGCCTTGGTGGTAGAAGCTATATAAGTGACCAAAGTGTGATGAAACCTGAAAGAATTGAGACACAAAATTCAACTCTGCAGCGTACAATGACTACATAGGAAATGATAAACACACCCTTTTTAGCCTACCACATGTTCCTGTTTAATCTTGTCTCTTGTTTTTGTTTGTGTTTTATTGAATCCAATAGTTAGAAATAAAAAGAAGTGTGTGAGAGATATTAAAAATAGTGTGCGAAAATCACCTCTTGGCTAGCTAGTGGCTTTGGAAAATCAAATCTTCCCACGCATCATCTTCCACTTTGATGTAAAACAGCACATAGAGCTGCCAAGCTGCTCCTACACAATCCTCTGTGATGCAAATGCAGAGTAGAAGAAGAGTGAACTGGATCGGCCCAATAGCATAACCTCTTTTCAGTTGTGCTAAAACTTCTACACACCTCTTGCTATAGTTCATTCATGTTACGTGTTTTATTTAGGATGTTGCCTATCCACACATCTGTTTTTTACCTTTTACACTCTCATCCCAAATTTCGATATTCAGATCAAATCAATTGAAGATGATTAAACGACAGAAATTAACAGGGTGTGTAGGAGGTAAAAAAATGTTGGATGGATAGCACCACCCTTTATTGATACCTTCTAGTCTCATTATATCACCCTCATAGACTCATCATTTTACCCCTATATACCCATCAATTTTTGAGATTAGTTAGTTCAGCATTTAGACGTTTCAGAATCATTAGAACATGTACATGGAGTTCACCTAGAGTTCATGAAATTAGAACTTAGAACCTCCTTCAACCGTTCAACGTAGAACGAGTTCATACCCAGAAACTAAATGGTAATTAGCAAGATGGATTATGATACACTATAATAACAACATGCGACAAGCATCGAGTGAGGTGATAATACTACACTATGATTAAAAGTGGTGAGCAAAAAGGCATGCAATTTCAACACCACAACATTTAAACACATGTACACTTGAACATAAAAAAAAAAAAAAAAAAAAAAGGAACGGTTTGGTTAGCAACATATTCATATGGATTTTTATCTAAAAGTGTCCATAAGATTAACATAACTTTTTACTTTGGTCCTTGAAATTTAATATCGATAAAAGTGGTTTTTGAGTTTGTCCACCGTCAATCATTTTGATTATTCGGAAAAAATTCTTATTAAATAAAAATAAATTGACAAAAATACTCTCAAATGTAAAAATAGTAATACAAATGTGCCGAAACTGATTATATTATATTTTCTGAAATATAATATTATTCTAACGATGCAGGAATTGAATGGGAATTTCAAAAGTCAGTTTTTCATTGTTAATCTTCATTTAACAAACTAAATGGACTTTTACCAACTTCCAAGAAGCAACAAATGCATCAGGTATTTAAGGTATCTAGAGAGACTAAATTTGTAAATTATATTTGCAAATTAAATGATATGTCGCCAATAAAAATTAAACACGTTAATTAACGCTTAGGCAATAATTGAATCATCAACTTCTATGTTATTTAGTTTACAAAATTTAATCTACAAATTTAATCTTCTTAGCATTATCCTTAATCGGATGATTGCATGCAATATCTTTGACTTAATTGGCAGATGCAGGTACAGTGCATTATTATTTCAGTCATATTAAAAAAAAAACATAGACTAACTTGGAAGCCTAAGTTTTCACGTGGCCTTATATATATGATTAAGTAGTAGATGAGATGTCATATTAAATTTGGTTGATAAATTAATTGCCCAAATATTCAACTATCCCACCGGTTGTGACTTGTGATTGTGAAAATACTTGGAGAGAAAGTAGATCGACAGGGGGAACTCGCTCTTATAGTTATTGTCATGCGTGGGAGAGGTTCGCTGTGTTGGAAGGCTTCGGTGTCACTGAGAGTATTTCGTGTAGATGTAATTTTGTCATTTGATTTAGTCACACAATGAATGATAATGGAGATATATTCTTATATAATTGTCTTGACTTACAATGTGCTTTGAGCACATAATAAATGAGGCACTCACATATTCACACGATGATATTGCGGTCTAGATCAAACTATAGGTGTTTTCCAATTTGTTGTACAAGTTAATTGAGTGGAGCCATTTCCTCCGAGTGTAGATTAGTTAATTTCTATGAGATGTTTTGGTTTGATCATTCAAGTAGTTGACTTTCATAGCCCAATGGTAGTGAATTTTAAGATTTGATTACTTAATAAATTCTTTACCCACCTTCTCACTAATTTAAAGTTAGTTTTCCTCTATGAGTCTATGACTATGAACAATTTCCTCCCCTTGATTCCCAAACACTAATAAAACATATATATATATATATATGTATGTATATGTATGTATATATGTCACTTCATGATTCTTAGAAAAATTGTTAACATTACTTGTTAATTGAAAATGGATTTCATTTGGTAAAAACTCAACTTCAAGTTATGTAATTTGCCTCTTGTCAGCAATCATAACAACCAATATCATAATGGGTAGTCGATACACATATTTACTAAATCCTAAATCGTATGAAAGTAGTGGATTGTCTAACTCATTGTATCTCATGTTTAAATACTCTTATTTTAATGTAAATTAATGTTAAATATCGCTTGTAATAACAATAAAAATTCTAAACACATTCACGACAAGAAATTCTTTCTAACTTTAGAGAATTTTTCTTGAATTAAAAAAAAATGAAAAAGGTATTTTCAAACTTATGTCATGAATGTGAATAGTAAATGAAGCACATCCAATCCTCATGTATGATGGATAAACAAAAAGGTATAACTAAAATAAGTTCCAAAGCTTGGTGTTTGTCGATGAACCTGAAAACACGATTAATTAGCACTCTTAAAAATCATTAGAGATGAAATTCAAGAAACTAATGTTCATTAGCGGTTGATCTCTATCTTGTCGGTGTAGAGCCATCTGTCTCTGTCTTATGTCCATTTCTCAACACGCATGCCTGCTTGCACGCACACTACACAATGTTATATTAAGAGAGGCAGAGAGCTTCTGATTTGATTATTAAGATAAAAAATTCCTGGCTGCCCATCATCAAAAACCCACGGAACACCACAATATTGATTGGGATCAGTAGAATTTTTATGCACTTAAACAAAGGGGCAAACCCTAACCAATTTCTTTATTGGTTTATTATTCTTTTTTAATATAAGAGGTATCTCACTACAAATTGATAATAGACTAATTTGTTTTTCTATATAGTTCTCGTTTCATACGAAGCGGTAGCATACTTTTGATCCAGAGTCAAACAACACATCAAAGCAAAACTAGTGACCTAAAAAAATACGTCTGTAAGAGTTCAAATTCAACTTAGAGATTCCAAATGTTTGCTCGCTTTCTACTAGACTTAACCCGTTGGGGTTTCTTTGCTGTTTCATTAATTTCTCTTTCATTCCTCAATACCAAGTTACCAACCTAGGCCTGCACTTCCCTAAAATATTGACACTATTTCACGTATTTCAGTTGAATGCACAATTGCAAATTGCAACGTGCATGACATAAGTAGCCTTCCAATTTCCAAACAATTGCCAAACTAGTATAATTTTAGGTAGACCCTCCTCAGAAAGAAGGGCCAAAAGTCCATGACCTCGTCAAGTGGTCTATCTTCTTCCAATATAAAAAATTGCCTAAATCTTCCTTTGAAAACAAGTGGTCCACATTCAAAACTCTGCAGATTTGGCAAATGTCATGAGAAATTATTCCACTCTATAGGATACTTTTCCTGAGAACTGTTTTCATCGTTGCTCACACGTTGCAGCCACTGATTTAGGTGTTCATGTTTGTAATTTTGGAGCCTTCGTGTATGGGAGAATATAAGATAAGATTTGGAATTTTGGAGCCTTCGTAGCCCTAGTGTACTTAGGAATACTTATCCTTCCACCAATGTTCTTAGAGCATCTCCAATGGAGATATCAAAAAATAAATATCAAATGTTAATTTGATGGTTGATGTGTTAATGTCAAATTTTTTCTTTTTCCAACTGATATGTTTTTTTTTTGTTATAAATGATATTTGTAGGACTCATTTTTAAAAAGAAATCAATTAAAATAAATTTTCAAGATCTACAATT